CGCGCTCCCCCCGGGCTCCGGCGCTGCCCCCGGCTCCCCCGCCCGGGGGGAGAGAGCAGGGGGCGCCCCCGGCTGGCCAGCGGCGGCGGGCTGGGGCGCGGGGGCAGCTGCGGATCCGAGGGTCGCGCTGAGCCCTGCTGTCCCCGCGGAGCGCGCCCGCCCGCTCGCGCCGGCGGGAGGCGGCGGACGGAGGGGGGCGTCCGCTGGGTCCCTGAGCCCGACGGATTCCCTGGCGCGTCCCTGGACCGCGTCCTTAATCCCAAGCCTCGACCTTCACCTCCCTCCAGACTCTCCCTGCGGGATTTTAGCTCCAACCTGGAAGAGTAGGAGAAAAGGATCAGAGAGGCCTCGAAGCTTCTGGTTTCGTTCCGACTCTCGCCTCATACCCCTGCACCCCCCCCCCAAGTTCCCCGTCTCCCCCTTCCCCACTTCTGTCCTTCTGACCCTTACCAGTCCTCTCAGTTACTGGCAGGCGCCCAGTGTGTGCCCTGTGCTGGACATCCGTGCTCTTCTTCTACACAACCCCGGAGGACTGAGCAAAGGGTGGTCACTGCGGCAGTGAAGCCAGACCCGGTTAGCGCAAAGCAAAGCTGATCCTCTGCCAACGCGTGACCTCCGCTCCCCTAATCCTGCTGTGCCCCTCTCCACTCCAGACTGGGAGATAGCAGCATTTGCCAGGGCTTAAGGCAGAAACAGCAATGTGCATATTTGAAAACAATCGCCAATTGTCATTTCTTCATCAATCCGTTGTCACAATGTGCTAGGAACTTTTCCTGCATGCTCAGATTTGTTCCATGGTAATTCTATGAAGTAGATTCCGTTTCTCCCATTTTACAGATGAGATCCCTGAGGCTGAGAGGGGCTGAGTAACTCCTCTTAAATGCAAAATGTGGAATACAGAGATCAAGGCATTAGTTGGGGAGCTGCTGCTGAGCTTGGTGTGGGGCTGGGCTCTGAGCTCAGCGAGGAGGCCACAAGCAGACAAGCCACGCTGCAGTGCTGTGTGCGAAGTCAAGGGGCTGGGGAGCACAGGGCGCCAGACTCTCAGGGGAGTCATGCCAGCTTTAGAGGAGGCAACTTTCAAGGAAGCCACTGGGACAGAAGTGGATTGGGGAACGGGTGGAGGAGGAGGACGAGGGCTCCTAGGCAAGAGGCTGGGAACAATTCAACAGGCTGAGAAGTCCAGGAACTAGAGAGGAGCCCGGAAACATGGTGAGAGGAGAGGATGAGAGGCTGGTGAGCTCCCAGAGGCCGGGGCTGCGGGGAGGAGTTCGGATTCTGCCCTCTGCTGGATAGTAAGGGATGGAAACACTGAAGCAGGGCATATAGTAAGGTTGTATTTTATTTTATTTTTTGGTACCGGGGATGGAACTCGGGACCTTTTGCTTGCAAGGCAGGCGCCGGAACCACTGAGCTAAATCCCTGGCCCTCAGGTTGTATTTTAGATGCCTTTAGGGCAGGGAGCAGTTTTAGGGGGCCTCTGAGGTTTTCACACCCGGGACCCTGCATCCTCCATTATGACTTTCTATTACCGTCGGTTCGAGCCTCTTCACAGACCCAGTTTTCTTCCTCCTGTTGGGTTCTGCATTTTGAGTGTCTCCCCAAAGGCTCCTCAAACCATCCACCAAATCTCCTTTCCAACCAGACAGAAAGCATGGTGGTCCTGAGCCTGGGCTTCAGAATCAGACAGATCTGGATTGAACCCTCAGCTGGCCACTGACTGTGTGGCTAAAGCATGTAACTTGAACTCTCCAAAGTTTACTCCCTTTTATGAAGCTACATGATTAATTGTTTCCACCATAAATGAGCTAAGGTGCAAAGTCTCTATTTCCTGGAATTCAGTGATCAGCATCTGGCCTTTTTCTTGCCCTTTTAGATGCACACAATACCTTTTAGAGGTCACCCAATACCTGGGAAAGTTTCCAGTTATTCCAGGCGGGCAGCTAGGGGGTTGGCATGGGTGTATAATGAGAAGGACTGGGGCAACTGCTAGAAGAAAGAAAGAAAAAGTGCAAGAGGGGCCTCCTTCTAGGGCACCACTTTT